CAGTTTTGCCATAAAGCTTTTCCAGACTCACGAGTCACTGCTTTTATTAATTACTGTATTAGCTGTTTTACATACCCTAATTATCTCCCCACGGCTCAGACAATGGCCTTTTTTAAGACTTTTTTTTTTTCTTACTCTTTCTGGTAAAAATAGAAAATATGAATATGTATGGATTCTTAACCTTTTTCTGAAAACACAACATTAGCGCCACCTTCTGGCTAATATGAGAAATATCAATATTGATTCCCAAAGTCTCAACTAAAACGACAACTATAGTAATAAAAACATTAATGAGCTAGATGCCTTTAATCCCAGCACTCAGGAGGCAGAGTCAAGCAGATCTCAGTGAGTTCAAAGCCAGCCTAGTCTACAGAGTGAATTCCAGAACAGCCAGGACTACACAGAGAAACCCTGTCTCGATATAATAAAATACAAAAATATAAAATTATTAATGATAATAAAAATAATCATATATTTTTAAAAATATAATAGAGTCACCAAATTCTTCTGTTAAGTGTATTAATTCCTCTAAGAGTATAATTAATTATTCTAAAATTGACTATGAGAATTATAGTTAACACTTGGTCAAAACATGTTTTATGTGTGTGTGTGAGAGAGAGAGATCTCATTAGTTTTCACAGGCCTGCTTGCTGAGTTCTGCTATTCCCTGAAATTTAAAGATTTTGGAATGGAAGTGCAAGTCTGGGAGGTGATCTGCATAGCAATTTCCTTCAAGATAAAACTTCCATCTTGGAGGGAAGCTCTTTAATACACAGGATATTCTAAGATAAGGTGAAAAGACTCCACTTTGCAGGAATGTTCCTTGGGCTCACAAAGTAAGCCATCTGAATGTTTCAGGAAGTCCCTGAAACTAACAGGATCCAATAGAGTCCTACCTCTGCAAACACAGATAACACTAAGGACCACTGAGAGACTCTCAGAAAAACTTGGCTGCCTAGAAGAGGCTCCACCCAGCTAAGCCACCTAGAAGAAGCAGAGACAACCTGAACTGTCTAGAAGACTCTCAGTTAGTTACCTGAACCAGGTAGATCAGTTAAGCTGCCTAGAAGAAGCAAGAGACCAGCCAGGCTGCCTGGAAGAGAGTCACACCCACTGAGCCTGTAAAAACTACTCTCCAACATGTGGAGCTGCCTGCAGCTTCTGAAGCTCTTGTACATTGTCTTCCATACTGGGTTTTGGGAGGGATGCAGCTGTCTTTGAGTTATTTCTGCATCTGTAAGTAATCCCAATAAAACTCATTGCTTTACCAAATCTCTCTTTGATGGTATCCTTACTTTTTTTTAGAACCTGTCATCAGTTCCCTATCTGAGGTTAAGTAGACGTTATCCATGTCTCCCTAGGGGCCCTGGTCAGTAGTTGGTGTTGTTTTGGTTTGGTTTGAGGTTTTGTTTTTGTTTTTCTGACTTGACACAAACTAAAGTCATTTGGGAAAAGGAAAATTCAATTGAGCAACCTGTGGGCAGCCTATGGGAAATTTTCTTGATTAATTATTGCTATGGGAGGGCCCAGACCACTGTGGGTGGTGCCACCCTTCCCCAGGCAGGTGGTCCTGGATGCTATTTAGAAAGGAAAAGAAGAAAGGAAGGAAGGAAGGAAGGAAAAATTTTAAAAAAAGGCTGAGTGAGCTATGAGGAGCAAGCTGAACAACTGTGACCTGAGAGTTATAAGCTGAAATAGGTCCCTTCCTCCTCAAGTTGCTTTGAGTCATGGCGTTTCATCACAGGGATAATGGCACACAATAGACTGTCCCAGAGAGTACATGGTACAGCCAAGATCTGAACTCCTTTTATTCTTCACTCATGAGTTCAGCAAACAGAGAAATATCAAGAATATTGTCCTTTCTCTAATCTAACTACATTCCCTTTTGTATCATTCACACTTCCCCAATCCTCACTACCGGACAAACTGGTGAGACCCTCAGCCTACAAACAAGCCAGACTTTTCACACACACACACACACACACACACACACACACACACACACACACACACACACTACTCAGCACTGACTAGTCCTGCTTAGCCACTGCTCTGTTTCCAGGAACAAGAGGCATCACATTGTTGAAGCCCTCTGGCCTCTGCCACAGCATTTAACATTCATTATCAACAACTCACTGCTGCTGAAGGAGCTCTTAAGAATGGAGGAAGCAGGCTGGAGAGATGGCTCAGTGGTTAAGAGCACTGGCTGCTCTTCCAGAGGATTCAGTTCAATTCCCAGCACCCACATGGCAGCTCACACCTGTCCGTAACTCCACTTCCAGGGGATCCGACACCCTCCCACAGACATACATGCAATCAAAACACCAATGAATGTAAAATAAAAATAAATTATTTTTTTAAAAAGAGGAAGAAGGCATCCCGAGACCACAGCCACCCCAAGACAGGCAGGTGAATTTTCACACAACTCCACTCTTTCCTTCAGTTTTCTCCCCTCTAAAATGAGGATAATAATCGCGAGCTGTGAAAAGTTCAGTGATAATTAAAAAGACTTCATGTTGGGAAGAGCCCAACAGGTATTCAAACCTCTAAGTGCTGAGAGAGCTCCTACACAATACCATTTTATGAACTGCAAATCCCCCACAAACCGTGAAGCCAGTTAGAAGCGACTGAGATCGGAAGCCTCGGTGGCCGCAACATGCTATGAGAATGGTGTGCATTGTCGTCTTAGTAGACAAGGGGGGTTGGAATTCCATGGAGACTTTGGGATTCCGCTGCCACTGAGTGCATCCATGTTCCAGGCTCCACACTGATGCCACTGAACGACATCAGTGTGTTCAGAATACACCATGGGCCAGTGTTCAAGGCTCTGTCTATACGGCAGAAGGAAGAAGTTAATGCACTAGGACCCATGGGAAGTCGTGAAGAAACCAGCTTCACCTCATCATGGACAACAGCAAACGCACAGCACTGGAGGAGCTCCCTGTTTGCCTGGCCCTGCATGTACCCCATCCCTGTTTGCCTGGCCCTGCATGTACCCCATCCCTGTTCTCCTGAACCTGCATGTACCCCATCCCTGTTTGCCTGACCCTGCGTGTACCCCATCCCTCTTCTCCTGACCCTGCGTGTACCCCATCCCTGTTCTCCTGATCCTGCATGTACCCCATCCCTGTTCTCCTGACCCTGCGTGTACCCCATCCCTGTTTGCCTGGCCCTGCATGTACCCCATCCCTGTTCTCCTGAACCTGCGTGTACCCCATCCCTGTTTGCTTGGCTCTCTATATACCCCATCCCTGTTCTCCTGATCCTGCAGGTACCCCATCCCTGTTCTCCTGATCCTGCAGGTACCCCATCCCTCTTCTCCTGACTCTGCGAGTGCCCCCATGTGTCCCCAAACAAGCCATCTACATAATCTACCAGATGAGTGTCATCCCAGCAATGAAGTACAGAGCAAATGCTGTATGGAACGAATGTGTTGTGAACTGAGGTCCCCAGGGGGAAGCCACACCTGTGTTAAAGTCTATGAGCCAGACTGACTGATTAGAATTTCTCCACTATGGAATGCTAAAGTTTCAACCCAGAAACAAATCATCTTGGGCTGGCTTTAGTTCCTTAATGAGCACCCATTGCCCACCTCTGTCTAACGCTCCTGTGACTGTCACGTGAAACCGTGTAGGATGCAGTAACAGACCACCAGCTCCCACCAATGCAAAGCTAACAATACTATCAGGTAACATCAAACCTACAGCAGAGACCTTCCACGGTTGGCCATAGAAAACTCACAGACTTGAGGTTCCAGCCAGTGCTCTTGAAATGGGCTTCCATTTATAGTTTCCCTTTGGTTCTGCAAATATAAAACCTGGTTTTATAGAAGTCGCTCTAGCAAAAATAAAGACTCTGGAGTCAGATATTGGGGTGAAAACCTGATAGATCAAAGAAGCAGTGGAGGAGTGACCAGCTGACCTTCTCTCCACACTTTCCAGACCTTAAAGGAAAGAAGAAAAGCTCATGAATCTCCAAGTCCCTCCCTACTCCTTCCTGTGCCTCTCTAGCCATAGCCTGAGTCCTCCATAGTCTCTATGACTAATTCTTGTCAACTAGTTGCTGACTCCGCCCCCTGATTCTAGGTTAATGTTATTAACACAATCAGGGGCGGGGGGTCACAATGTGATCAAATATCCCACAACAAAAAAAAAACTCGAAGAAATTGTTACCACCTTGGAGCATGGTATTTGGGGCAACTGGAATCTGCATTCCTGGACCGTGGTCACTCATATTTGGCTCCAGAATAAACTCCTATTCTCTTTGAGGTGAGTCCTATGTATTATGTTGACATGGCTGATTACACCTCAATTCCATTCTCCCCCCCCCCCATTTTTTTCCATGTCATGAGCGAGATCATTCAGAAGAAAGCCTACACTTTCCAGATGTTTTCACGGGTGGGCACGGTCATGTTCCACCAATGGAATGTAAACAAAATGACATGTGATAGATTCTGGGAAATTCTAGGAACCTTCTTAGAAACAGTTGGAGGAGCTCAGAGTCCCCTCCTTTCCTTTCTCTCCTGGTTATGTTTTAAAGGTAGACAGGACTACTCAAACTCCATTCTGGGCCATGAAGGACAGTGTCTGGATGGTGACGTGGAAAGACAGAATAATCGGGGTCTCTGAGGACTTTGTAGAGTAAAGCCGTCACGAGAATCCTAGATGGAATTACCTGTGTTTGTTACATGAGGAATGCATAGCTATTCAAGCTCCTATCACCTTGAATTTCCCATCATCTGTCACCAAACATAATTCTGACACAGTTTGCTGCCGTTGCTAATATTGTGCCAGAACGGCCTTCCCTGCAAAGATGCTATGCCAGAGAACAGGATAGAAGAGAAACAATACCAATCACAACCCTCAAGAGAGCTATTATAAAAAAAAAAAAAAAAAAAAAAAAAAAAAAAAAAAGATTTTTTTTTTTAATCCAGTGGACTGCCAGTACCAGCAATCCAGCGGACATGAGATCCATGTGCACGGTCAAATTCACTATAGAAATTAACCACATCATGAATAACTGGTTCAATGTTGACGTCCAAGAACCTACTGCATCCCAAGTGTTCCGTCTCTGTGGGAGGTAAGACATGGTCCCAACCCTCCAGCTTCACGGTCTGATGGAAGATGGAGACAACTAAGCCACAGAGCTTGTGCTACAACCGTGACAACTGACGTTCCATGGGGACAGGTAAGTGGCAAGATACATCCTTGCTGGTAAGGAGTTACGGGGAAGCAGGGACTTTTTTTTTTTTTTTTAAAGCAGACGTTTGAACATTGTCTTAGGGTAATGGGCCATCCAGAAAGGACAGAATGGGAGCACATGGCCAGAAGGCAAGAGAGAGCTGAGGCAATCAGAAGCCACCCAACCACAGACCACAGAGAAACACAGGGAGATGGGGGATGCCCAGGTGACCCCTGTGGCCTTCCTGGGTTTCACTTGCCTAGTGAGTCAAAAGATGATGTGGAAAAGCTGTGGTCTCGGGGGTGGCCTCGAGCCAGGACGGCTTCTGCATTTCAGGTCACTGGTCATGAGTCATGAGATAGACTGGCTTTGTAGATGGAAAGGGAGGAACCATTGGAGTGCTCAGGGCAAGGAGAGAGAGATGTGGGTTCAGCAAACGAGAAGTGTCACTGATTCCATATGTTGAGATGACACAAGAACAGGTCTTCCACTTTCTTGCCTGCCCCTCAAGGAGGGCAGTCCAAACCCCATGGCTACAGGGGGACAACTTATTTCATCATGGAGCCTTCTCCCCTTTTCCCTACATCAGGACTGGTCATGATGTATGGAGTATCTCAACAAGGCTTTCAGCGCCCTGTCCCATTCCACCCCACCCCACTACCCCACACCCACAGCCATGCAGGTCTGCTTTCTCCAAATGAAGGACACAGCCCACATCGTATCTGATCCATTCCCACAAAGCCCCTGGCTGGACTGGAACTTGGAACAATCTAGATTGTGTGAAGGATGATGGGAGTCTTGAGCATGAGGCACCAACGCCAGTCATCACAATTTAGCCTCGCAAGTGACCCAAGTGATGCCGCGACCATTAGACACGTTGTACAGACAAGTAAATGGAAACTTAGGGAATCCAAGAGTGACATATCAAACATCTGAGACCCAGGGTACAGAAGATTCTGTCAGCAGTTGTGGGCTTTCTCTGCTGCACCAGAGATCACCAATGGGAGCCGTGCGGGCCATCTGGACCGGAACGGCTGAGGACACTTTAAAACGCCTTGCCTCCCTGTCATGGTCATGATCGATACAGTACGGTTCGAGGAAGGCGTCTTAGAGCCTTCGCACCAGCATGGGGTCTGCCACCTACGAGCAATGGCACCTTCAACATGTCCTGTGGGCTCACTGTGCCTCAGTTTCCTCCTCTGAAAACTGGGCACCAGTGTTTTAGTTAGTTAGTGGTTAGGTGATTCCAATAGAACGGACTAGGCTGTGGGGAGTCGACAGAGGCGCTCGAAGTGCAGTTGTCACCAATGTTTTATGATTTGATCCCCAAAATTGACACAGCAAGGAGGAAGGTATCTGTCAGTGTCGTGAAGGAAATGTCAAAGGGCTGAATTCCAAAGGGTTTAGGACAGGGAGTCCTTGAATGACTTTTCCTTGGTTTCTAAGCCGGATTTTGTGTCACTGTTATTCCTCAGGAAACATCACTGAGAGCTGCTGTTGGAACAGGGTGTGTCATCTGCTGGGAGTATGACACCAAGGATTCCCAGGTGAGCGCCGAGGTGCATGATCGTCCATCTTGCTCAAACTGCAAGGATGTTCTCCAAGAAAGGAACTGCAATTGCTTACGATGGCCACCAGGGGGAGGCAAATAGGGCTGCATGAGGAAACCAGAGTTCTTAACTAAGGTGATTGGCACTATCCACTGTGTTTTCACCCATGGTGTTTCTTTTCCTATAAATGCCTGGCTGTAGCCCTTTAGCCAAGTGTCAGCTTCCCAAATGACTTCTTCAAAAGCAAACCAATGGAGGCCCCAGAGGATGGGAGAGCCCAGGACACCATCACTGTGCTGCTGACCTGAGACTGACTTTGACTGGCACTGTCTAGCCTCCTTGGGTTTCCACCCTCTTTCTCCAGGATGGCCATCCTTCCTGGGACTTCCAGATAGACTTCCAAGCTTACAGTCTACCTCCCTCTGCAGCTTGCACAGTGGCAGAGGCTGCTAGACGCTCCCCAATCCTGTTTCCTCTTTTTCCCCAGGCACGCAAGACCACCGGATCTCCCTTGCAGTCAACTCAGTAGGATTGTGGCCAATGGGTGCTCATCATGGCCTCTGACCTATTGCCACACTTTCTCTTCCCCTTCCACAATGACTTCGGAAGCTCCTTGGTTAAGACGACAGTCACAAAATGGAAGGGGCCAGGTCCTCACGGAGCTGTTTGTTGAGAAGATACACTCCCAACCACCACATACCTAGCATCAAAGCAGAAATAACTGTAAAGCTACCAAGGATGGAAGGATTTTGGCAGCAGAATCTGGAGTTTACCACTTAGACTAACACCAGCCATAACCTCTGGCTAACCCAGTTCCCATCATCACTGGCACTGCTGTTACTGACATGGATATTGTTAGTACAGTAGCTGTTCAAATAATCTTAGTGATAGTGTTACCGGGTAAAGACCCAAAGACCACTCAGCACGACCTGGAGAGAAACAGTTCCCACAGAGCAGCCCCGAATGCATACTGCAGCGAGCTTTTAAAGACAAAGAACACAGGAAAACTACATCCTGGTTGGCAGGTACAGGGGGAAGCAAGAAAGCAGTTTAACAAAAGCCAAGAACATGCAGTTAGCTGGGGCATTTCAACCCCGGTGTTTCTAGAATGAGGTTGGGTGCTTTCTCACTGGACTTTTCAGGGCAGGGGGTAGAAACCCAAGATGACTTCAGCTGAGACAAGACAGAGAAACCTTTGCCCTGTTACAGTAGGATGTGTCTTTACTAAGGCATCAATAATGTGTAGAATGTGTCATTATTATGGCATTAGTTCTTGATCTCTATGAGGCACCTACTTTGTACTAGGTACATTCATCCACTGGGAGCCACAGAGGATTATTTCTAGGAACAATCAAGTCTTTTCTATAGTGATGTTACAGTTCCAGATGACTTGGGCACATTCTCCTGTGTTTTTTAAATCACCCCTGGATTGTTCATTATGAATGTTCACACGGTGTCAACACAACAAATATCACAGTGACACTTCACTGTTTAGAGAATATTGACATTCCCTACAGATGCAGTTTTCCCTGGATATTTTTTATTGCAGGTCCTGTCTGAGTATTTGGAATCTACCGATGCAGAAGCGATGGATTTGGAAGGCCCTGTACTGAAGAACTCCATGAAAGGAGCCAGAGGAGACTCTTGGAATCCTGGAGTCACTTCCTGACCCTGCTGGAATAGGGACCTGTCACCAATGCCTGTGTCTGGAGGTGGAAGCTTCCAGTGCTCCACCTGAGGAACGTGAACCATGACTTCTAAGATGTATGGGCTGGAAGAATGCGGAGACCACTCAGTGGAGACTGACCTGACCAGGGAGCTCCTCCTGCCATTGTTCAAGGAAGCCTTTACTGGTGAATAAACTAACATCCTGAAAGGGATGGTGCCAGCCTAGCCCTTTCCTTCCCTCCCTCTGGGGTCTCTGATGATGGCCATCCCCCACCTGGAGACTGAACTGTATCCAGCCACTCCTCATCACTCCAGCATCTCTCAGTGACCACCTGCAACGGTTGTTCGGGTTCCTGAAGACCTCATTGATTGCCTGTCCATCACTCTCTGCCGGTTCTCACAGTCAGGCTTAGAGTCTTCTCTCAATGTTGGAGCCTCTATCAGCTCAAACATCTGACCTTGAAAGATGCCCTTTTAACTGAAAAAAAAAAAAAACTCCATATCTACAGAGGGACCACTCAAGATGATCAGGAGTCTGATTTGTGTGACAATCAGCACGCACCAGATGTTAAATACAGAGAACGGTGCTGTTGTTGGGGTGCATAGACAGTTGAGACAAAGATGGTCCGATGACATGATTCTGAGTCCAAATCCGAGCTTCTCCACCCAGTGTGAGAACTGGGGTACAACAGGTTTTTCCTTGATCTGACCTCTACTCCTCTGATAATTTCAGGAATTAGTCGGTTTTATTGATTTCACCAAATCCTGAAATCCTCACTGAAACCTTGTATCTGTGAGGATCATCTATAGCATTGTAAACACCAGCCTCGGTGTTTACAGCTAAAGTGATGAGCGTGCTCAGGTGTGACTCCCACCCCAGCCCCCACCTAAACACCCATCTACAAGATGGAAATGACCACCCCTGCCTCGGTGTGAGGACTGAACACAAATCCGTAGACACAGAGCAGGCTCCTAAACAGAGCCTCTGTCCCTTCTCATGACTTTCCCTGACAGGAGGCCAAGAGTGACAGCCCAGCTGAGCACCCAGGCAAGCAGCTGCTGCTGTTGTTTGCCTCAGCCTTGATAGGAACTGAAGGTGTGGGAGAGGGGTGTGTCCCAGATTCTTGATCTGCAGAAATGCCCTGAGGAGGTAGCTGCCAATGCAGACTCATGCAACCCAACCACAGAGATGTGCTTGTGATCAATCTGCGTGGTCCCCAGCTCTTCATACCTACAGCTTTCATAATATTTAATCATTTATTTCTTAGCATCTTATAATGTTCAATACAATTGACCCTCTAGATTTCTGCATTCCACATCTGTGGACTTCAACAACCACCATAGAATATATAGAGAAAGAATTATGTCCATACTAAATACGCACTGGCTTTTTTTTCTTGTCATTATACCTTAAACAATACAATAGAACCACTATTTATAACGTGGTTAGGTTACATAGGTATTATAAGCAATCTAGAGATGAAAATATGGATGAGGAGGTGCATAGTTTACATGCAAACACTCCAGCATTTTATGTGAGGAACCTGAGCACCAGCAGATTGTGGTTTGGGAAGAAGACTGAGATCACCCCTCCATGGGTACCGGGTGATGACTGTAGTTCCTAACAACACCACAGAATGGGAATATAGTGGAAGAGAATGAGACCAGATGAAGAACAGAAGATGAAGCTCAGAGGCAGGGGATGTGGCTCAGCTGGGAGAGTGCTTGTCTTACATGCTGGAGGCCATGTGTCCCCCGGCACTGCACACACACAGAAAAGGAAAATAACCACAAAGCTGTGTGCACGAGCCATCAACAGACACACATCCTGCACTCAGACGCATGGTGTCGGTAACATGTGCCAAACAGGCCCACTGAACAGCACATTCGGAGGACAGGCTACCTTGGGGGTCATTTTAGTGCGGCTGTAGACTTGCTTTCCCATTTCTCGTTTGCCTGAGAGCTGAAGTGTGCAGGGAAGATCGATGTCCTAATCCACTGTTTTGGTTCCTCTAGAGGCAGCCAGAAGACACATGTCTGCCCAGAGCTCTTCTGTGGGAAACAAAGCTACTTCTCAAGGCCAGTTGCTCAACGCCAGGCTCATTAGCACTTTCTACTTCTTGAGGTTTGTTTATCTACAGATCTCAATGTGCCTCAAAACATTCATTAATACTCCCAACACCCTATGAGCCCAGAATCACAGTCCCCATTCTGCAGATGGGGGAAATGATAGAAAGGGCAATTAAGTGATGGGGCCATTAAGTGACTGTTGAGCAAATAGGGAGCTGTGGCAAGAAGGAAAGCAATGACCCCTCCAAGATGGGGAGGGAGGGGAGGGAAGGAGGTACCACCTCGCAGACCACGTGCCCTGGGACGGACCCACACATGGCAGAAGGCTGCATTGTTCCCTTTGCTGGTGCCATACTAGGGGTGAGACAGGAGCTCGGGGGACAAATCCGTGCACTCTGACAGGCATGGGTATTTCGTACATTTCTATTGGTTGGAAAGCAGTGGACGCTCCCAAGGGACCATTTGCTCCTTCCCATTTGTTACCACCAGAGCGGCGAAGCTGTCCTCAAAGGTGTTTCCAGTTACGCCAGATGTGATTAAGAGATTACAGCCCAGCAAAAGAAAGAGGTCTGTTGCCAGTGTCAGGGAGGTGGCCAGGAAAATGGGTGCCTCACCCAGACAGCAAAATGGAGGACGGAAGTAGAAGATGGAGCAGGAGCTCAGGAGCCACAGGGGGTTCGAAGCTTAGACTGGGAAGACACGCAGAGAATCTCCAGAGTCTCGGGCACTTCTAATTCAGCAAGCCAACTTTTAGAATCTGTCCGAAACAAAGAAAAATAGAACATTTGTGTCATCTCTCTATTCACTTACCACTTTAGAGGTGTGCCTCTCAACTGTTGCTCTAAGGATTCATTTCCAACATACGAAGTTAGGTGTACATCCAAAACACCGCAGCTTCAAAGTGTCTTATACTGATCCCATGAAGCCATCAAATATTTTTAAGAAGCTTAACTCCATGAAGAAAGGTTTGTAATAATAAATGAGGGGCTGGAGATAGGATGTCTCAGCGGTCAAGAAGGCACACTGCTCTTGCAGAAGGCCCCGGGTTCAGTTCCCAGAACCCTCATGATAACTCACAACCCCTGGTAACTCAAGTTCCAGGGGATCCAATGCTCTCCTCTGACCTCCACACACTAGGCATACACATGCAGGTGTACAGACATACATGCAGGCAAACACTCATATTCATAAAATAAAAATACATAAATCCTTTTGAGCCAGTCCTTAGTAGGACCTACCCATCTGCATGTACCCTATCTCTATGGATCACCCATCAAGGATAAATACTCACCACTGTAACCCTCAAGGCACATCTGGCTTCTGGAAGATATTCAGGATCACCCAAAAAAGACAAGCGTGGGAACAGGACAATTAGTAGCAAATAGGCATCCACGCTGACCATGGTAAGCCTTGACTGGGCTATTTTAGCCAGAACTTCCCAATCTGAGGCACACGTGGTATAATGTGAGAGAGCCACTGTTCAGAGATGTCAGGCTGTGTGGGTTATCTTGAAGAGAACATTACCTATGAGGACACATCTCTGCAGCATCAGCAGCTCCATGCTCCTGTGGTGCCCCTTCTTTGGGATTCCCACGCGCTTTTTTCACAATGCATGGTTTCTTCTCTGAGAGGATCCAGGGTGCCTCTGACTCCACAGAATGCATCCTAATGCACCACTGAAAAAGAAGAGATCCTTAAAGTTTGAAAGGATTGATAAGAATTAAGGAAGTCTAACCTCATTAAAACCAGAGAACTAAAGCTATCTTCTCACTGTCCTGACACTGAGGTCTTGACTTTTTGGTGAATTGATGGAGGGAAAAGATGTCAGCCATGTGCAGGGACTGGTGACGCACACACATGACTATAGTTTCCCAGTGCTCCTCTTGGTGTTGTATTCCCACTCTACATGTAAGCAAACAAAAACTGAAAATGGCCATTTGTACAAAGTTAGGAAGCCAAGAGTTGTGTGACTTCATAAGACATGAGTAAACATCTATTTCCCCCTGATAAGTCATCAACAACAGGCCAAAGAAATAATCCCACCCAAGTCTAACTTGGTGAACCAGTGGGTTTACTAGGAATTACTTACAGGAGTATTTATTAGTAAAGAGTTGCAGGAGCCTGGATGACCCAAAGGCAGCTGTCTCAACAAAAACCCACCCCATCATGGACAATGCTTCACAAAAACTGCATTTCTGGAGCTCCTCGCTTGAGTTGCAGGTAGCTTGGTCAGTCAGAGTCTCCCCCTCCCAGTCACTGTTACCGTTTAGATAGCTTTGTGGGAGGGGCTTCATGAATCTTATAAGTTTCAGGAACTTCCTTACAACTGTGAGTTTTAACTACTTCCTGGGCATTGTCAGTAAGTCTTGGCCAGCCTCCCTCAGGGAAGACGGGGATAGCTACACAACACTGAGAAAAACTTGGACTTGACAACATCACACTAATGACCCAGAGACAAAGGCATGACCACAAACCCACTCTCTGTGGTCCTGATTGCAGCTACTGCTCTGGCAACTGACATGCCATTCGGGGTGCTCTCATTGGCAACCTATGCAAAGAACTTTGTAAGGTCCCCACACTTGAGGATGTATCATCTCGCTGAAATGGAGACACTGAGACACGAAGAAAAAGACACTGGTCACACATTTCATCTGACCTGTGCTCTTCGCCCCTCTCGAAGCCAAGTGCTTTCACAATTCTCACCCTGTTTGCAGCCCTCTTGATAAATGGAGGAATCTCTGTGACCATCCATGTGACCTATCTCTGAGTCTAAGCCCAGAGATGCCTGCTTCTCAGCTCGGCCAAACACCCAAGGTGGGATTTCCCTATAGCTGACAGAGGAGGACATACAGGAATTACTCGGTATACTCCTCCAAAGGCAGTCAGTAGAGGTCAGAGAGATGGGGAAGACAGACGTCACGCCATTTAATCACTTTCCTGGAGTACATATGGAACATCTAATCACGATTTTCTTTTGTTTCACAGAGAAAAGAATTTTCCGCTGGTCTACTCATGGAAATATGTATATCAAACAGAGTAAGCCAAGCTACAGAGCAGTTCTTCAGCAAGGACTCCCAGCCTGGTACTCATTGGCCCTGGAGCAAGTACATTTTAAGCAATCTTCAGGAAATAGGCTTTGGCATGACATCACTGGCCTCAATCTTTCATCTCATCTAGGATCCACAAAAGGAAAAAAAACAAAAACAAACAAACAAAAAACAGTTTGCTTGTAAGGATCTCAGGCCCCACTCATTTGAGGATTTTCTGAGCAATCTCCAGAAAAAAAAAAAAAAAAAAAAAAAAAAAAAAAAAAGGAACAAAATCTTTCCCCTGTCAAAGTCTATCATTTGGTCAAGAGGGGGAACCAATGGCCCTTCCAAGACTCTTAAACCAATGTGTTGCTCTTATACTGGAACTCAGTAGCCCCAGATTTCTCTGAAC